TCATAGTTGAGGTATGATGAAAATTACAGGCCTCTCTCATCTTTTTAAGTGGGAGAACTTGCACAATTGGTGGCTGACTAAATACTTTTTTGCCCCACTGTATATGAGAGTAGTTGACTTCTTTTTCTTGTTTTCACAATGTTTTTCATTCATTTTTCATACCCTCATGAAAATGAAAAAGTGATAACTTACCTAATTTTAACTTTTTCAGAGCTCCTGATGTAATTGGTAAACAAAAGTGAGTTGGGAACATGCGCACACACACACACACACACAAATCTCTTCAGCAAGTGTTGTCAAGGGTGACATCCATTGCAAATGGATGAAAACTTTTTTATTTGTTTCTTTAATGCAAAAAATATAACTGCAAGACAAGGTGGGAGATGGCCAGTCTGGGTATGAAGGGGAATGTCTCATCGCTGCACTTTCACAAGACCTTTCGCATTACCCACACTTTATGTCCTGCCTTTCTGCCATGGCACAGTCATTTGGTAGCCTTTCTGTGCTCCCTACTTTTGGAGGATAAGGGTTCCTTCACTTTCATACTAGCTTATGTGGGTGAGAAAGGACTTCTTGTAGCCTGAATACCTACTTGCCAGTAAACTAGGAATAATTATCTAAAAATTAACTTCTGTAGTATCACCTCTGGCCATTGGGGTTTTGAAGCATGTAGCCAAAGAAAAACAGTCCCCCATTCTTTTTCTAGGAGTTGCAAGTATAGTACACAAAGCATAGTTTAAAAATCTCTGAGGTTTACCTTTCCTGGGGACATCAGATCTCTTCCAGACCCCTACGTCATCTTTTTTTTTTTCAAGTTTGCTCTGTTCTTTTTGACAGAACCACTCTAGACTTCTGATTTTTCTCACATAAATCCCAGTCTCTTTTCTTGCATCTCAAGACAGGGCTTTTTAAACAGAAAAGGTGCAGTTGGAGAAAACTCCTTTTGGTCTTGCTCAGGCAAGCCTTTGTTTTCTCTAACGTGTAGATTTATGAATTGGGCATGTCAGAGTGAGAGTGTAGTGGGGCAAGGGGGTGGGTGGAAGGATAGCCTTGCCTAATGTGCAGCAGATTGTGGACTGAATGAATGGGGCTGGAGTGAATGAGCTTAGTCCATCATTTCAGGCTTTCACAACTTTTATTCTTTGCCATTCATTTGAAATTGGGGAAAAAATCACCCCTCCAAAATTTGGGAACTTGATATGGAATATGCATGCTCTCCAAGGAATTCGGCAAAGTACAAAATGGATTAATATTCTTAGTTCTTCTGGTTTATTAGCAAAGCCATGCATATACAAATCATTCTCCTTGGAAGTTCTCCAAAGCATCATCCTGTTCCTTTCCTGGAAATATTAAGCAATTGTAGCCAGATAAACTTTTAATTGGGTGTAACATTTTAAGTATGTTTTCTTTCATCTGATTTTTATTTTAATATACTGTGTACACTTTAAATCAGGGATTAGCAAAACGAACTTATAAATACCATGTGCCCCACTCCAAAGCCTTCAGTGTAGTGCTCATGATCCTTCCAAATATTTCCAGTGGCTTATAATTTTTATATAACAGAAGAGAAAAATTATTAAATAAATAAAAAGTAATCATTTTAACTATGGTTAATTAATGTAAGTACAATTGCGTTTTTATTTAATTAAACAAAAATTAATTTTTTGTCTTGGAATTATCCATTTATTGGCCCTGCGCTCACCCACTTGTTGAAGTATACAGGTGTGGTCTTTAACCCAGGGACAACATGAACTTGATATCAGGCACTGTAGCATAGACAATGAAGATATTTTAGGGACAACTATCAGCAGTAGAGGAACCAGCAGTGAGGAAATACATCACAGTCTAGAACTTGGTAGACTAGCCATGAAGGCCTTGGAAAAAATATTCAGATCCCATGATGTATCTATACTTACAGAAATCAGAATACTGACATTTTGAACTTTGATGTTAGAGAAGATTCGTAAGAATACTATGGACAGCCAAGAAAACAAACAAATGGATCATCAAACAAATCAACCCAGTGTTCTCACTCGAGACAGAAATGATCAGGCTTGAATTATGCCACTTCAGGCACATTATGTGAAGACCCTGCTCTCTGGAGAAGGTTCTAATGCTGAGAAAGATGAAAGAAAAAAGAAGAGGACAATCAGTAACAAGGTGTATGGACTCGTTTACAGCACTGATAGTTGCATCTTCAGCGGTTGAAGGCTGAGGAAAAGAGAAAGGTTAAGCACTGAAAAAATAGACAAAAGGAAAGCTCCTGGGCTGTGTTAAAAATATTTAAAATGCCAGAAGCTCATTTCAGATTTGCAGTGTTTATATATGAAAACAAAGCATGAAATGATAACTTGGAGACATAGCAAATAATCATGACTTAGATATGCATGTATAATTTGATGGGGGACTGTAGCCAGTCCTAACTTTTGGATAAGTATTTATTTACAGAAAGTTAAACTGGAAATCTGATTCAGCAGTATCACTGTTTCTTTAAAGTTATTTCTAAAAGTCTCTTCATTTAGGAAAGAGATGCATTCTTCAGTTGTAGGATTGAGTTTCTGAACACCTTTTTTGCCTTTTGTCTGCAGTTTTGAATGATTGTTGTTTTTCCTGTGGAGGCAGTAAATTATAAGCACTTCCATACCAGGCTTTAGCTTTGCCTTAGCACCGGTCTGGCACCCCTGTGATTACGTCTTATTGTCTTGCTCGGGCAGCTGAGTTGAATTTCTTCTGGCTCAACAGCTGCACGGCCAAAATCACATTTCTACTTTATGATTTACACTTCTGCAGCTTGGTGGAGATGGTGACTGGGTTGCTTTCCTTTTAACATGAACTCTTGTCTCTTGATTCAGCCATCTGAATTCAGCTCTCTAGTCATTTCACAGGTGGCTTTAATAGTGAATCTGACCTTAATCCTTATCAATTTCATAATCTTTGTTAAAACTGCCTGCCTTGATTTTCCCTGCTCATATAAGCAGGACACATTCAACTCCTGCTTCCTGGTTCAGGCAGGCCATTCCTCCCTCCTGTCTATCTGTCTAAACCAGTGTTGTCCAAACTTGGCCACTTTAAGATGAGTGGACTTCAACTCGCAGAATCCCCCAGCGAGCATGGCGGGCTGGGGAAT